CACTGCGCCGTGACCGCAATCAGGAGGCTCACTCCGCCACGGGCTGTTCGCCGTGCTTGTCGCGTGGACGTTCGCAAATGACGGCGTATCACGCAGCAACAACCTGTGGCGGGGATGTCGGTCGAGCCGGTATAAATATCAATGAAAATGCATCTGGTGAGGCTGCGCCATTAGCAGCTAACCAACTCGCCGTGTATCGCGCTCTGCGTCTCGTTCACGTGTTCTTGCGTGCGGCGACCACCGCGCAGCACCGCCGGCATCGCCATCACCCTGTGATTCTCAAGGAGGCGAGCAGCCGAGCCTTACATTCTCGGTATCGTAGAGAGAGGTTGAGAGTTTTGGTGGATCCAGTGGTCCATCAAGAGAGCCGACGCGGAAGAAGAACGCGAGCCGCGCCGCCATTCACCATCGAACGCCATGGGCGACACATCCAAGTCCACTGTGAAGGAGAGCTCACTCATGTGGCCGATGCTCACCAGCGACAACTACACCGAGTGGTCCATGTTGATGCTGTGCCAACTAGAGCGTTGGAAATCTGGGGGTGATCGACCAGTACCAACCCGCGCGCCAAGAAGATCGACAAGCTATGAGCGCCCTCCCAATAGCTCTGTACCCAAGGAGATGTGGCGGAGCGTTGGGGAGGAAGACGACGATGAAGGAGGCGTGGGATGCATGTTGCTTGATGCGGATCGGAGCCGATCGCGTTAAGGAGGTGAACGCCGAAGCTCTTGAAGGAATTTGAGAACATTCAGTTCAAGGAGGGGGAGTCTGTCGATGATTTCGGCATGAGAATTACCAATCTTGTCGGTAATCTCAAAACCTTGGGGCGAGACGATTGATGATCTCCGCGTCGTGAAGAAGTTTCTGCGTGTGGTGCCACCTCGGTTCACACCATTTGTGGTGTCCATTGAGATGTTCGTCGACCTCAAAAGACGCCGATCAAGAACTCGGTCGATCGATTACGGGCGGCGGAGGAGCTCGCTTGATGAGAAGGTCGACCAGATCGTTGATCTCTATTATTCCTCTAATGCTCGCCAAGAAGATTGGTTGGAGAAGCATAAGCACCGATTCCACCACAACAACAAGGCCGGAGGGAGCGGTGGCGGCGGCGCTCCTCAAAGGGCAAGGCGGCGGCGCTTCAAGAACTCCCCACTGGTGCCACGGTGCGATCAAGTTGACCTCCATGGGCACGCCGAGAAGGAAAGGCCGGTGTCGCAATTGCGGCATCTACGGCCACTGGGCGGAGGACTGCAAACGCCCACCGAAGAAGGAGAAGAAGGACGGCACACCGAGGAGAAGCGCAACGCCGCCGGCCGGAGGGCCGATCACGGTGGCGCTCTGCTCTTGGCCACATGCGACGTCGCGCGCGGGCCGACTCAGATCGTGCACCTGTCGGAGAAAGTGACCCCCATCGATGTCCCCGATGGTGTGTGGGTGCTAGACACCGGCGCAAGCAATCACATGACCGGGACGCGATCGGCGCTGACACAGCTCGATCGAAGCGTTCGCGGCTCAGTGTGTTTCGGTGATGGGTCTCGCGTCGAGATTCAAGGAATTGGCTCAGTGGTGATGCAGGGTCGTCATCAACAACACAAGGTACTGACTAATGTGTACTATATCCCCAAGTTAAAAAGTAACATAGTCAGTCTGGGTCAATTAGAAGAAAATGGATTGAAGGTTACTCTAGGAGATGGAAAATTGTGTGTTTTTGATCATGACAAATCACTGTTGATAGCTGCTCCAAGAACTGCTAATAGATTGTATACAGTAAAGTTTGGTCTCACCTCACCTATATGTCTGTTAGCACACTCTGATGATAAGGATTGGCAGTGGCATGCCAGATATGGCCATCTAAATTTTAGAAGTCTAAGTGAGCTTAGTGGGAGGCAGATGGTAGATGGAATGCCAACTGTGAAAAAGGTGGAGCAAGTTTGTGATGGTTGTGCTCTTGGCAAACAGCATAGAAAACCTTTCCCAAAAGTGTCAAGTTTCAGAGCAGAAAATTGTTTAGAACTTGTACATGCAGATTTATGTGGGCATATCACACCTAAATCTCTAGGTGGTGCTTCCTATTTCTTGTTGGTGGTTGATGATCACAGCAGGTACATGTGGGTTGAGTTGCTCAAGTCAAAAGATCAAGCTCTTGACTATTTCAAGAAAATCAAGTTGAGGGCAGAATCTGAATCTGGTGGCAAGTTGAAGGCTCTGAGAACAGATAGAGGGGGTGAATTTACTTCTCACCTGTTCTCTCTTTTCTGCAATGAAGGTGGAATCAAACACTACACTACTACTCCTTATTCCCCTCAGCAAAATGGAGTGGTGGAAAGGAGGAATCAGTCTGTAGTGGAAATGGCTAGATGCCTGCTGAAAACAATGCAGGTTCCACCTGTGTTCTGGGGTGAAGCAGTCTCTACTGCAGTGTATTTGTTGAACAGGTCTCCTACCAAGGCCCTGAACAACAAGACTCCTTTTGAGGCTTGGCATGGAAAGAAACCTAGAGTGAGTCATTTGAAAATTTTTGGCTGTGTGGCTTTTGTAAAGCACACTGGTCCTGGTCTGAAAAAACTATCTGACAGATCATCCAAGATGGTGTTTATTGGCTATGAGTCGGGCACCAAGGGTTACAGGTTCTTTGATCCTGCTACTGGTCGTCTTGTGATCAGTAGAGATGTCATTTTTGATGAAGGACAACCCTGGAAGTGGACCAATGCAGCAGATGAAACAGTGCAGCTGTCACCTGAATCTTTTGTTGTACACTATGAGTCTGATGAAAATCCAACAATAGATGGTGCAGATGTACAGCCAGCAGCAGAAGCAGAAGGGGAGGCATCTGTTGGGCAGGGTGTTGTGGCTCCACATGAAGCAACACCATCACCACAAAATTCCCTAGATTCAGTGCAATCTCCACACCACAATCTAGCAACACCACCCAGCCAGGGATTTGACAGTTCAGAAGAGAGAACACCAAGATACAGAACTCTTACTGACCTGTTTGATCACACTGAAGAGATGCTTGACTATGAGTACAGTGGCATGTGTTTGTTGGCTGCTGATGAACCATTGGGTGTGGATGAAGCACTAGAGGAGCAGTGCTGGGTTGATGCTATGGAGACCGAGCTAGAGTCCATCAGGGAAAATAACACTTGGTGCTATGCTGATCTTCCAAAGGGACACAAAGCAATTGGACTGAAGTGGGTTTTTAAAGTCAAAAGGGATCCAGGGGGAAACGTTGTGAAATATAAGGCAAGATTAGTGGCAAAGGGATATGCTCAGAAGCAGGGGGTGGACTATGAGGAGGTTTTTGCTCCAGTTGCAAGATTGGAGACTGTAAGACTGATCCTAGCTTTAGCTACTCAAGGTGAATGGGAAGTGCATCACATGGATGTGAAATCTGCATTTCTTAATGGAGACCTGGTAGAAGAAGTCTATGTTCACCAACCTCCAGGTTTTCAGAATTCCAAGTATCCAGGCAAGGTGATGAAACTGAGAAAAGCTCTTTATGGGCTGAAACAGGCACCTAGGGCCTGGAATGCAAAATTAGATCATGAACTGCACAAGTTAGGTTTTGTCAGGAGTGAGGAGGAGCATGCTGTGTACAAGAAGGGCAGTGGCAGCTCACTGTTGCTGCTTGGGGTGTATGTGGATGACCTCATCATTTGTGGGCCTGACAAGAACAAGATTGTTGAATTTAAAGAGCAGATGTGCAGGACTTTCAGTATGAGTGATCTTGGCATGTTGAGCTACTATTTGGGAATGGAGGTGAAACAAAGTCCTGGGCAGATTACAATCTGTCAGAGAGCATATGCTACTAAGATTGTTGAGCAATGTGGTATGACTGGTTGCAATCCAGTTGATACTCCAATGGAACAAAACTGCAAGTTGCTTCCTGGAAAGCCTGATCTTGTCAGAGATGTAACCAAATACAGAAGCATTGTGGGGAGTTTGAGATATCTGGTGAACTCTAGGCCTGATATAGCTTTTGCTGTAGGGATGGTGAGTAGGTTCATGGAATCTCCAACTTCAGAGCACTGGGCTGCTATCAAGAGGATTGTGAGATACATAGCAGGCACATCTGAATATGGTTGCAAGTTTCAGAAAGGATCCACTTCAAGTCTGAAACTGTTGGGCTATTCTGACAGTGATCATGCTGGTGACCTTGAGAAGAGGAAGAGCACCTCAGGAATTCTGTTTTTCTTGAATGACAATGTGGTCACTTGGACTTCTCAGAAGCAAAGAGTTGTCTCTCTATCTAGTTGTGAGGCTGAGTACATTGCTGCAGCCTCGGCAGCATGTCAAGGTGTCTGGTTAAGCAGGCTCATTGCAGATTTGACAGGAGAGAAAATTCAGAAGTTCAAGTTGTTGATGGACAGTAAGTCGGCACTCGAGTTGAGCAAAAACCCAGTCTATCATGAACGAAGCAAACACATTGACACACGATATCATTATATCAGAGAGTGTGTTAGTGATGGTATTGCAGAGGTTCAACACATCAGCACTGACAGACAGTTAGCAGATGTTCTGACGAAGCCGTTGGGGAGAGTCAAGTTCATCGAAATGCGTCAGAGGCTGGGTGTCATCAGTGTCTGTCACGATTAGGGGGTGAAATGTTGGAGCTCAAAACTCTGTAATCGTGTCAGAGTTCTTGTATCCATGTTTAGGTGCATTAGCTTTGTTCATTAGGTGCATGAACATGTTTTTGTAACTGCGTAGAATTGCGGGCAGGGGTGGAGACTTGCACACCACTGCGCCGTGACCGCAATCAGGAGGCTCACTCCGCCACGGGCTGTTCGCCGTGCTTGTCGCGTGGACGTTCGCAAATGACGGCGTATCACGCAGCAACAACCTGTGGCGGGGATGTCGGTCGAGCCGGTATAAATATCAATGAAAATGCATCTGGTGAGGCTGCGCCATTAGCAGCTAACCAACTCGCCGTGTATCGCGCTCTGCGTCTCGTTCACGTGTTCTTGCGTGCGGCGACCGCGCACCGCCGGGCATCGCCATCACCTGAGTGATTCCAAGGACGGCGAGCCGCCGAGCCTTACACCAAATAGGCCTTGCTCAAGCACCACTCGTGACTTACTTTCCCGTGGCATGGTTGCGTCGAACATGTCAAACATTGCCGTGTAGTAGGACAAGGCCTCCTTAAACCGCGACAAGTAGGAGCAACCATAGGAATTGTTCAGAATGCTCTGGATGAAGATATCTGGCCTCATCTTCTTAATGTTATGGAGAACGGTATCCCTGGGGTTTGGATTATCAAAGAATATGCTCTCGTCCATCAAGGTGCTGAAATTGAAGTGGTCATTCACTACGAGCACCTCATCCGGATATTTGTCCAAGTCCTCGATGCAAACCTCCTCCCACCTTTTCCTTATGACATGGAAACTGAATGGCAGGCCAGACTCATGGGCACATTTGATGAGCCGGCACCCTGTGTCCTCAATCAGCTCAGCTGGACATGGCCGGAGACGTGAGCGGACTATGGCGGTGATCCTCACCTCTGGTGGGTCACCTTCCCTACTCGCTAGCAAGCGAAGCAAGTGTGCCCAGTGGAACCCGAAACGCATACCATAGTCTACAATGTGCAGGCGTGTCTTACCCTCCATGGCCTCCATGATGGTCATTGTGGAAAAACAGACCACCACCTTGTTGATGCTGCAGGCTGCCATGTAGAGGTTGTGCGCCTTGAGGTATTCATCAATTGAGAGGCGCTCTGCCAATTGCAATTGCCAGAGCTGGCTCCCCATGCCCAATAGCCGTGCTTCCAAACCCCTAGCAAAGCATTGAGCTAGCCGCTGTGTGACATCCCCTGTTTCTGATGCATGTTGCTTGATCTGCTTCAGTAGGTCGCGTGCTCTCGCGTGGTCATTCGCCGCCACTGCCTGTGCACAAAAGATCAACAAGGAGCTTACGTCCACCACATTATTACTCACCGCCTTTTTACCGCCCTTGCTGCTTTTCTTCTGCGCCTCGTTCGCCATGTCGATGCGTAGCTTCTCCAAGTCTCTAATGTATGTCTCGTGTCCATTTGACATCATATCGTCTAACATCGTCTCATGGGCACAAATATCCTCGGGCTCCTTGATCATCATCATGGCTTGCTGCTCCTTGTTATTACCTCGTCTTCTAAATTATCATCTCTATTATTCCTCTTCTTTGACCCACTCTGACGATGGCTACTTTCCCGTCTGACCATTTGATTCACCTGCTGCTCATCACTTATGAAGCCATTATCTCCGGGCAACAGCATGTTTGCCTCATCCATGCTCTTCAAGAACTCCCCCACTACTGCATATGCACACCTGGATAAGGATGAGTAGTTGGGTGTCCTTTCATCACCACCACCATCTTGCAACATATTATTTGTGTCGCCATTGATGGCGCCAAGGGAAGGGGAGGAGAGGATTTGAGCAAAGGGCTGCTCCACCTGGAGAAGCGCAGGGTGATCAGAGAGGAGCTTATCGTCGGTGTCGTCCTCGTCCTCCATGAGCATGCATGAGACGTAAGGGAGCATCATATCACTAGGGACATGATGGTGGCAGCCCTCACTTCGTCCACCTTCTTGCTTTGGGGGAAAAACGTCAAGGGATGGGGACACTGGTGACTCCTCCATGGAATCCTTCACGAAGAATTCCTCTAGTGGTGAGGTTGCTGCCATGTCATTAATGGTAATGGCACGGTGTGCTGCAGTAGGTCTTGCATTGCTTAATATATCGTAACGAAGATGACAAACCATGCCACCGTGTATGGATCTGTCTCCTATAAAATGTGTGTCCAAGCTAGTGCCAAAACGAGTCAGGACACCATGTCTAGTTGTCTACCTATAACTCCAATGCTGCTTGGATAATGGAGACATACTCGGCAATATTTCCAATGTTCCTCGGATGTAATGGTTGAAAAACTATAGCTACAACTCCACACAGCACACAAAGATGATATTTGTAAATAAGACCATTGAAAGAAACGCCATTTGTGTCTCTGTCTGCCTTGTCTGGTGCTCTAGTTGCAGGTTTAGTCGTCTGATAGGCTTTGAGTCCTAGATGTTTCAGGTTTCTGTTAGCTGGCTTCAGTTCTGTTGGTTGCTGCATAGCAGCGTTTGTTTTGTTTGGCTTTGTGCCTTCTTGTGCGCTGGTATCCCCAGCTACTTTGTGTACCTGTCACAATGCTACTTTGTGTACCTGTCACAATACCTGTCACAGCTGGTACCATTTCTGTTACCTGTTGAAATATGACAAATTAAAGGAAGAAGATACTTTTGCGCGACGCCCAACATATTTAAGTAAGCTTTACAGGGGGCTGACATAAATAAAGTAATAAAGTATCAACGATCAGAAATGCAGAGAACGAGCAGAGTTTGAAAACAACATGCATGATGTTATTCAGACCATTACCTGCAAAATATATTTCTATGTATGGATGTATGTATGTCAGCTTGAGGTGTGGATTATATATGTAATTTTCTTTGGAAATGTGAAAGAAAAACGAAGTATGTGAAAGATGCATGGCTTCGAGAAAAAAACTGTTCACAAGAACTCTTGATTTCACTTTATTTTTATAAAAAAACAAAACACTATTCTCCTTAGGAGTTCAGGGTAGGACCTGATCTTTCTGGTATATATGTATATGTATGTGACTAATTATTGGAATACCTAACCTAGCGCAGTACAACAGAGAGGACTTGTTAGAAGAAAAAAAAAATCATGGTTTCTTCCTCATGAGGTACGTGAATCAAAATCATGGGTAAAAATGCCAAAAGAGTATATAACAAAAAAGAAGGGAACAAGAGTAGTCAGGGCACGGAGGCATGGCCCGTGGTTTCTCGGGTGCACCACATCGGAAAAATCCAGTGCCCGACCATTGAAAGTTTTAATCTCTGTTGATTTCTCAAGTGCACCACATAACAAATCTAGTTTATTATGTACGATAGACTAGGACCTTATTGTTGCACCCCTATTCTCCGGTGCATCACTGGAGATGATAGACTAGGGCCTTATTGTTGCACCCCTAATCTCCGGTGCATCACTGGAGAGCTCATCTGGTGCGTTGTGTACAATATATTGGGACCTCACTATTGCACACCTAATCACTTATGCTTTTTAGTTCTCCACCATGCTTGTGCAAATTCTTTCTACTTAATATCTAATGTATCACTCCGGTGCTAGCACCGAAAGTATGCAAGTGCAAACTTCCATCTTGCCTCGGACTTGGGTCCACCGGTGAAATCTCCGATGCACATATCTAGTGTTCTCTGAGTCTTGTTTCTTTACGTCCATATGATGTTTTTTATTTTCTTGCATGTCTTTAATATTTGTTTGGGACCTATTTGAGGTGTTGATGTCTCAATCATCACCGTAGCCTACCTCAAGTCTATCCTTACATCCATAAGACTAATAAGTACCTTATGTATTCGGAAAAACTGTTAGCCTTAATACGCGACATGGCCTCACGGTGTCCATGTATTATATACTCCCGTCATGTACTTAGGTAGAAAAAATATCCCACTCCGCAAGTCGGCTCTTCTGCCAGATCTAGTCGAATCACACTCTCTCCAAGTCCAGTAGTCAAAGCATCGCTCGCCGATGGCATCTTCTCCCCACTCTGTCGAGGCCTGGACCCCCGGCGACTCACCCGCACCCCACGCTCGCCGGCGAGCTGCTGGACAAGCTGGCCGGCGTTTCTCGTGCCGTCACAAGCCCCGATGCGGTGGTGCGCGCGGACGGCGTCATCCACGGCGTCGACCGTCTTCTGATCCCATGCTCCGTGCAGGAGGCCTTCAACTGCCGCCGTAGCCTGGCGTCGATCTCAGCGGTGCTCTCGATGGGCGCCCCCGAGGTGGACCCACGCACGTACCGCATCCTTAGGAAGCCCGGCCCCGGCCCTAGACCCACGCGCGCTGCTGGGTGCCCCGCCGACGCTTCCCGTGTCGGACTCCATCGCACCGACGCCCACGCTCGGTCTAGGATTCAGGCCGCGCCACTTCGACGGGCAGGGCAGGTGAAGGACTTCATCCAGACACTACTGCTGTACCGCTGCTCTCCTCCATGACCGCACCCCAGCCCTCATTCGCCCCCTGCCTCCTGCTCGGCTCGAGGCTCGCCTGACATGGTTGTCACCACCCACTAGGATGTCACGCCTGACATGTTGCAAGCATATGTTTCAAGTGTTTCAGTTGTTTCAGAGGTATGTTGCAAGCGTTTCATGTTGATGTTGCAAAAATAGATCGGGTTGTTGTATATGTTGCAATGGTGGTACACTTATGTTGCAAACATCTATTCTAAATGTTTCATCTATTTTTTTAAACATATGTTGTAAGTGTGTTTATTTGGAAGTTGCATGTGTTTTATCTGGATGTTGCATATATTTTGCAATTGCTTTCAAGCATTTGCAGGTGTTTTTACAAGTGTTTTCAGACGTATGATGCAAGTATTTCAACTGTTTTGAACGTATGTTGCAAATGTTTCATTTGGATGTTTTAAAAGTAGATCGAGTGTTGCATCTTTCTACTCGCCTTCGACTGCCTCGCCTCGGTGTCTCCTCTTTCTCAATGCTGGTGATGTTCAGGCGGCGTGGACTCATGTGGGGGCAGGTGGCGTGGGTGGGGCACGAGTTGTTCGAGTGGCGCTGAACCCAAGCGAGCGGGGCATACAGCATGGCGCAGGCGCAGGGCGCGGGGAGCAGCGTCCGGATGCAGGCATAGGACCGGACGTCCGGGCGCTAGCCTGTCCACTTAATAATAACTATGTTATCAATCCTATGGGTCCATGTTTCATGTTTCTTACGGTCGACACAGGGGTCTGCGGCGACGGTGATCAGGTCTCGGCAGCGGCAGACGAGCAGCGACAAGCAAAAGCAAACTCTCTCTCTTTCCCTCTATCTACGATTCGTCTGCAACCCAGGTGGAATGAGCGTAGAGGATGCGGCCCTTCCACCCCTGCAGCAGCCATCCGTCGTTCTCGTCCATCACGAACTCCCTGTGGTAGCACTGCTTCTTCACCATCACCCTCACCGCGCCGACCACCGCCGGGTCCAGCGGCAGCTGCCTCAGCCCGGCACGCCGGCTCCTCTGCTGCCACTGCCTGTACGTGTCGAATCGGTCCGTCCGGTCGCGGCCTTCGCAGGCCACCACGTTGACGACGCAGGCGCGCAGGAAGTCCCGCTCCAGCACCATCCGCTGCTCGCTGTTCCTGGGCAGCGTGGCGTCCAGCATGTCGAACGCCGCCGAGAAGTAGAAGAGCGCCTCCCGGAACCGCGTCAGGAACGAGTTGCCGCACAGGCCGTTGACGACGCCGTGCGTGAACACGGCGGGCCTCATCCTCCGGATGCCCGCCAGGACGCTGTCCCGGGGGCTCGCCCTGTCCACCACCAAGCTGTCGTCGGCCAGCGTCTCCAGCTTGAACAGGCTGTTCACCACCACCACCGCGCCGGGGTCGGGGTCTACCTCCACGCGGACGGCGTCCCACCTCGCCGCCGCGACCGCGTGGAACTTGAACGGCACACCCAGCTCGCGGGCGCAGTCGCTCAGCATGTGCCCCGTCTCCTCGATGTGTCTGGCCGGCCGGAACCCCGGCAGCGGGTGGTCGATGAAGGTGATCGTCATCTCCGGCGGGCCGCCGTCCCTGGCCGCCAGCCGCCGCAGCAGCCCCGGCCACTGGAGACCCAGGTGGAGGCCGTAGTCAACGACGTGCAGCCGGCTGCTCCCCGCCGCGGCGCGGCAGATGGTCATGTTAGCGAACGCGAAGCCCACCCTCTGGAAGCAGCACGTGGCGTTGAACAGCCGGAACGCCCTCAGGAACTCGGGGCCCTGCAGCAAGGTCGTCGTGTCCAGCGCCGGGAGCGACCTGTGCAGCACGCTCCCCGTGCCGGCGAGGCGCGCCTCCAGGGCCTCCACGAAGCAGTGCGCCAGGCGCTGCGTGGCGTCCCCCGTCGGCGACGCATGCTGCTTCGCCTGCTCCAGCAGCTCGCGCGCGCCGTGCCGCTCGTCCACCGCCTGCGCGCAGCTCACCAGCAGCGTGCGCATGTCCACCTGCTGCTGCTGCCGCCGCCGCGCCTCCCTGCTGTTGCTCATGGCCGCCTCGTCCGCCATAGCCGCGCGCAGGCGCTCCATCTCTTCCGTGGGAACCTCGCAGTCGTCGAGCATCATCCTGCCGATCAGCTCCTGCACCTCGGCCTCCTCTTCCGGCCTGGCCATCGTGGCCATCAGCTTGCATGCTCTGCCCGTCGTCTCCGCGTCGGCCTCCAGGCGGCCGTTCCTAGTAATATCCTTCATCACCAGTCTCTTGTTGTCTTTGGGCAAGAATTTACAGCCTTCCTCCCTGCCCTTGACGAACGCCATGTTCAGCAAGTCCATGACGCTGCAGGGCTCTGCTCCTGTGGCGGTGGCGCACATGTTGGAGACCGTGGAATTGTTGCCGTCCTTGTAGAGATCGGATGCGCCATTGCTGGTGGAAGATGAAGAAGAGGCAATGATTTGAGCCAAGGACTGCTGAGCGTGGAGGAGTGCGGGGTCGTCGTTGCGCAAGAACATGCCATGCATGTCCTCTTCCTCCTCCATGAGCAGACGCGAGATTTGTTCCAGGGCCACGTCTTCCTGCTGCTGCTGCTGCCCTGAGGAGGGGACGCCGTTGTCATGGTGGGGCGTTGGGGGAAGGTGGAGGAAGACCGACGGGGACTGCGGCGAGGGCTCGACGAGGCCCACCAGCTCCTCCAAGGTTGCCGCCATAGCTGACGAGGAGATGGTAGTGGTGCCGCTGACAACTGCCAAGTCAAGGTATCATCTTGGAATCACCTGCTTCTGCTCGAGTTAAGACCCTGCTCCATCAAAGGCATCAATGACAATGATAAGTAGAAAAATAAAACTATTTGACGACAGATCCGAGGATCTTGTCTCTTTTCTTACAGGGGACCTTGGAAATGGTTATACTTTGAATTGTTCACTTCTGGGAATTGCCAATGCTTATCTCTTGTAGCTAGTAGTAAGTAGCATACCTGTATATTGTGGCAGCAAACATGTTCAGAGTCCTCTGTTTCTTTCCCGCACCCACCTGTAGGGACGTAAACCTGCAGTGAACATATCAACACAACACACAACACAATGGACAAGGAGTTGCAAATCCAGGACAATCGTGAATAAAAAAAAAAAAAAAAGTAGATCCATAGCTATGGACCCCCAACAGTACAATTTTCTTGGACCAACAAAGTTTAAATTCTTCCTTTGAGTGCATATTATACAATTTCAGAAACTGCAGATTTTAAAAGCAAGGATCTTCTATGCACTGGTTGAAGAGACAGAGAAATATGCAAGTACATTAAACATGAACATCTTCAAGAAACGAATCAGTGCACAGAGTTGCTACCATATTAGCTTAAACGCGAATCTGATGCTGTGAAAAACTGGTTGACCTTGACAAAACTTCTTTACCTCATTGAACTCAACAAGCACCCACCCACTAAATTTAATTGACTTCTGTGAAGAATAAATTTTATGAGCACAACAACTTCTCGGACAGCCACAGAAGAGCAGTAGTGGCATCCAAGAGCTGATAATTTATTTCTTCAGAGTTCGAGGCAAAAACTGAACACTCTAACATGTAATTTACAGAACAAGATGTACTGCCTAAGGGAGCAAGACGTATTGTGCTCCTCTATGACATTTTCAGCAGCCACATGTAGTGTCCCTGAATGAGTATACAGCCAAACAAATAGTACACATGGGCTAAGCCGCAAAGGGAGCCGATAAAGGTACCATTCAGTAGCAGAAAACTAAAGCTTCATTCAGAGATGGTGTCTTCCGCAACCCATGTAGAGTGGGCATAGAAGATGCGCCCCATCCAACCTTGCAGAAACCATTGGCCATCCTCACTGATGAAAAAGTCCTTGTGATGGTCCTTCATCATTTTATCCTTGAGTACCTTAACTATGTTTGGTTTCAGTGGCAGCTGCCTGAGGCCTGCCCGCTGGTTTCTCACCTGCCACCGTCTATACTTCTCAGGGCAGTTCACCACATAAGCACCCTCGCAAGCGACAAGATTCAGCACAGAGTGACCCAGCATGTTCTGTTCCAGCACTGGCCGTAGTTTACTGTCCCTCGGGATAGTTGCATCAAGCATATCAAACAGTGCACTGTAATAGAACAAAGCCTCACGAAACCGCATCAAGAAGGAGGTGCCATATGAACAATTCACAATACCCTGGATGAAGACATCTGGCCGCATCTTCCTGATGTTATTGAGGACGGTATCCCTGGGGCTCAGACCATCAAAGTAGATATTCTCCTCCCTCAAGATACTGAAACTAAAAAGGTCAATCACAACAAGCACCTCATCAGCCTCTGTTTTCAAGTCATCGATGCAAATTGTCTCCCATTTTGCAGTGATGGCATGGAACTTGAATGGCACGCCAAACTCACGGGCACACTTGTCCAACCGGCGCCCTGTATCATCAGTCCCTTCAGATGGATAGGACCTAGGCTGAAGGCGGCTTATGGCAGTTATCCTCACTTCTGGTGGGCCACCTTCCCTATTCGCCATCCAGCGGAGCAAGCCGGCCCACTGGAACCCGTGATGTGGACCGTAGTCTACAATGTGAAGCTTGCTCTTCCCCACCATGGCATGCTCAATGGTCATAATGTTGAAAAAGAGTGCCACCCTGTTGAAGGAGCAGGTTGCCATGTAAAGGTTGTAGGCCTTTATGTACTCTATGGCCAGTGGTTGCTCCAATGTCAGCAACTGCCAAAGCTGTCTCCCTGTGCCCATTAGCCGTGCCTCCAGCCCCTTGGCAAAACATTGAGCTAGCCGTTGTGTTGCATCCCCTGTTGCTGATGCATGCTGCTTGATCTGTTTCAGCAGCTCATGCGCGGTCCTGAAATTGCTAGCAGACACCGCCTGCGCACAATTTATCAACAATGTGTATCGATCCACAACATTGCACCTCCTCTTTCTATAACCCTTCTTGTTGTTCTTTGCCTCATCAACCTTGGTGATACGCAGCTTCTTCATGTCTTCTATGCATGTCTCGTACCCACGAAGCATCATTTTGTCAAACATCTCTTCGAGCTCTTCCATCATCATAAAAACTTTATAGGCCCTGCCTACCTCCCCATCCTCATCCCTGTTATACCTCTTCTTGAGTACCCTACAATTGCCACTTTCCCTGGTCATTTGGTTCACTTGCTGATCCTTGCTGAAGCCATTATCTTTTGGCAAGAACCTGCTAGCCTCTTCCATGCCATTCAAGACTGACCCTGCTGCAAGCGCACCAATGGACAAGGATGATCTGAGTGTGCATTGATCACCACTGCAATCCTGGAACAAATTCTGGGCTCCCTCAACATTGTCCCTGTTGATGGTGTTGTCACTGTTTGTGCTGAAGGAAGGGGAGGAGAGAATTTGGGCAAAGGGCTCCTGCACCTGGAGAAGCGCAGGATGATCAGCGCCTTGGCACAAGAGTTTGTCTTCAGTGTGATCCTCCATGAGCATGTGTGAAACATAGGAGAGGACTATTTCATCAGGGCAGAGTGAATCCTGACCGGCATCATTGGACATTCGGGGAAGGTCAGGCAAGACAGATGGGGAGGGTGGTGACAAGTTCATGAGACCCTCCATAAAGAATTCCTCCGGGGTGCTGGCCATGGAGATTGATGGTGGTACCGTGGCTCCAAAGCTGCAGGATAACATACCTTGTTAAGAGTGCCAAGTGTTTGATAGTTCTGATGTTGCTTGGATAATGAACGATGGTTAATTATAATCCCATGTTTCCTGGATAATGGAGTTATGGAGATGATATCTAGGCATCATGCATAACAAACAAAGATACTAATATTTTATTCTACCTACTTGTGCCATAGACAGAACTTTAGCTCATTAGCTGCAACATATTTTATTCTAGGCATCATGCATAAAACGTAATTAGACTAATATACAGTATGCACCTTACCTATAGACAGAACTTTAGCTCATTAGCTGCAACATATCTGTGCTGCCTACCTCGGATTTCCCCTTCACCCCGTCCAATCCATCCTAAGATGAGACAAGTGGTTGATGGAATCACCAAAGCTTGCCATGCCGGTACATTGCTCGCACATAAGGACAAAAAATATGTCTTGAGAAAGATGGAGATAAGGAAATACCATCCCATTCATCTTGGTGTTGGAGCCATCCTTCAGCCCTTGTCCCTTCAAAAGTAACAAGACATTGGAGAAAACCAATTTTTCGACAAATCTCATGATCCTGTTTCCAGTCACAGGGGAAAGAGTAAAAGTCCTGAAAATTATTATACTGCAACCTTTTTCCTGGGTACTACCAATGCTTATTACTTTATTTCTTTCCTGCTCCACAGAGGGACCAAATTACGAACAATTAATATCTGCAGGTGAACACATAAACACAGAACAGAAACACTGGTCTGGTAACATGATCAGACCGAAACATAGAGAAGATATTGTAAATACTGAACAATCATAAATCAGTAAAAAATATGTATGGGTATACCCAAAATACATTTAGCCAACAATATCTCTTTTTTGGGCCTGCGGTGCTCAAATTTCCTTCTTTGAAACATATATGCGAAAGCGGCTTTCAGGACCCGGCAAGAAACAAACTTACAGTATGAATATTCAGAGCTGGTGTCCTCTGCCACTGAAAGTCTTGTAACCCTCCAGCAGTCAATCAGAACAACATAAATGACACAAGAAGAAATACTAGTTGCTTACAGTGTACATGCTTTATTTGAACTTCCAAAGTTATAGGGGAAATTTTTTTTAAGTTACGGCAGATACTTCTGGTTATCGAATCAACTTGTCGGTGTTTTCGGACCACCGATGAGTAAATTTGTATTTACGCAGTCTGGCTCGGATGGTGTGCTCAGAGGACACAAGGGTTTATACTGGTTCAGGCAGAACGTCCCTACGTCCAGTTCACTGCTGCTCATGTTACCGGCACCTGGTTTGCGTAGGGGTTACAAACAAGCGAGAGAGGGAAAGGATCCCAAGTCTCTGGTGGAAGGAGTGAACGGGTGTTGAGAGCTTGATCGCTGCTCAGCCATGTGCTCGTGTGGTGCTCTTGTGTTTGTTATCTCGTGGTTCGGATCGGATCCCCCTCCATGGGCGCCCTACTTTCATTTTTATAGGCCAAGGGAAAACGCCGGTTACAGTGGAGGAAAAGGAGAAGAACGAGAGAGAGGAAGGCTTACAGGATCGCCGGGTCCTTCTTCTCCTTCATGCGGGTCCCGCCGATCCTGCAAATGTCAACAGGGATAGCTCCACGTCGCGGCCCTGGTCACTAGCGCCATGCACAAGCGTCATCCGCTGGTCATGGCGTTCCATTATGTCCCAGCGGACATCATGGTGAACTGACGCGCCTATCAGTGTTTGTTCGAGGGTTAGGCAGAATAGCACCGGCACGCCCGACATTGTTCTTGATGTGAATCCTCAGGTATGGCTCGTCATATACACGGGTTGCATTAGGGCATGCCAGTCTCTTCCCTGGTGTCAGAGTTTTGACCCAAGCCCATACGCTTGGACCAGTAGTGGTTGGCGGCGGTATGGGTCCCCGTCGGGCGAGACGGAAACCGTGTCCTTGGTGGAGAACCCCGCGGCCTTGAGGTCGGAAGAGACGGAGCCCGCACCGAAGGGGTCGGGCGAGACGGAGCCCGCAGCCTTGGACGAGACCCCCACGGCCTTGGGGTCAGGCAAGACGGAGCCTGCAGCCTTGGGCGAGACCCCTG